CTAATTAGAATTAGATATAGAATTCGAAAATTATTGTGAAATCCTTAACTTGCGTCTACTCATCCCATCATATCCTTGCCCTATAATAATTGATCAAAATGCGCTTTTGATGCAATAGACTGGGGATAACTCGTGTTTCTGCTTGCTGGCATTAAATTGGTGCACTGATGTCACAATCTAGCAGACTGGTTTGCGCAATCATGTCGTAATCACACCTTAATCACACTAAACATTGCAACATTGATTATCACATCATGTTTCATTTTGCTTTTTTTTATTAACATGACCAATGTAATGACAAAAATGGTACAGCTCTATACCTCTATCCTTAATGCTCAAATAGGCACGTCAAATTTCACACATTTCCAATATGAATTAATTTATCTACATATTAGGTGTACAGATGATGGATATGCTAATACTAATAATCGTATGCCAGCTTATGCGTCTGATTGAAGGATCATCATCAACACTCGAGCAACTGTGCCAAGTAAAGCCACAATCCGGGTTATGTCAGTACAATGAGAATGAGAATCAAAACAAAGGTGTTTATATGAGTTTTATATAGAAACTTTACTTAAAATACAAGAGCTTAGCTCTTCTACTCTGCTATGGAGCTCTTGCCCTTAGAACTGATTGTATGCAACCGCAGTTATCTTTGGATATTTTTGATTTATAAAAGTTATATTCCACGTTTTGGTTATTTATATTTTTAGGCCCAAACAGGACATGGACAAGACTACGTGATCTCTCCAAAGATGAACAGCAATTCGTGCGCCTTGCTAGGGAAAGTGGCGATGATCCCGTGAGGTTTTCATTTATTCAGTCATTCGCTTTTTAATCACTTGAATTCCATTTGCTTTACAGTCATGCAAAACTTTGAAGACCGAATATGATCAAGTTTGTTTTACGCCTCCGCCGGCCCAAGCTTTTCAGGAAACTAAGGTACGATGTGCAATATTGTGATAAAACGAAACTGTAGATACTTATGTTCTTTCAAAGGCCTTCTGTGACGCTTTCGTGGAAACATGTGCGGAAGTATTGAAAACCAATCTTTTCACGCATTTGACGTTAGTAAAGAAATTTGTATTTGGACGGCAATTCGCCTGACTCCATCTACTGTTTCAGGGAAATTCAAGTTGATTTTTCTGAGTACTGCAAGCAACAGAAGCAACGCTTCAAATATGTCTGCCCAAAGCCATTGAGATTTAGGACTTACGCGGAACAGGTGGAGCGTCTTCATAGGTTTTATATTGATAAGATCACTTTGTGTTATTCCAAATTATTCTTTGACGGGAAAGATTCCGACATGAATGTTGCAAGTTCTTAGTGGAGATAACTCGATTTATGGTTATTTGCTTTTGTTATGCTGAACAGATACGAGTAACAATTTTTTTGTGCAAGAAAGTGCACAGCGAATAATGAGAACACGTAATGTTTTACTTGTGGTTCAGTGCCAGTCGCGGACGGATACACCGCATGATAGATTGCACAGAAAGCTCAGAGTATTATGGAAAAAGCAATCACATTTTATTACATTGTAAACAACCTTCCAATAAATTGTTTTAGGAATGATGTTATTCTTGAAAGTAGTTGCTGACTGAGTCATCATGCATCAATATTTGTAGAGAGCTTTTTGAACACCTACCAGTCCAATCTTTTCTTAGTTTCGAATAGTTGAACTTCAAGATACTGGCGCAATGCATGAAACATAATAGCAAAACCACGTTCAGAAGGAGAGGCAAAAAATGTTAATTTTTTAAGGGAGATGTGACTAGGAGAGATATAACATTATTGCAACGATAGTAGGAGACGATTTGAAATGAAAAACTTCAAAAAATTGTAGAAGATCAGTAAAGCTGTTTCTATTACTTAAAATCCGCTTCTTCAGGCTGTCGATTTCTGCCTTCGCTACACAGAACGCTGTCCGAAGGAAAAAATTCCCGAAGAGCCAGTTCCCTTCGAAACTGAGGTTAGGAGTGATGCAAAGTAAGAAAGAAAATGCTTAAATACTTATTTCCAGGACGAAACCCATATCTATATTCGAGAAATTGAATCACGCTGTAGGACAGCCTACCGAGCTGCTCGAACATTCTGTCTCCATCCAGAGCTCCTTAAATACCCTAAATACGCTATACCATGTGCAATGTACAAAGCTGATTGTATTGATGTCTATAGAAGGGTTATTTATGGGTAAAATAAAAAATAGGAATAGTAATGTTTGGTTTGTACTCTCAATTTATCAGAGAGCATATCGTAAATATGAAGAGAGAACCTCTAATATAATACAGTGATACTCATTTCTAACTTGTTATCAGATATAGCTAATTTAAGCCTTTGAAGGCAAGAAGAATGTCTTGAAAGGAGAGAATGCTAAAAATGTTTGAATATACTACGGAACTATCAAAAAATCAAACCAGATTGTAAAAAAAA